CCGGCCTTGCGCTCTTACGCTGAGGCAATCGCGGGTGAGTACTTCTCTCAGTGGCAGTCAGCCATGGACGCAGAGATGGCATCATGGAAGTCCACTCGCACTTATGTCGATGAGGTTCCCCCTCCTGGGGCGAACATCGTCAGTGGCATGTGGATTTTCAGGGTGAAGCGGCCGCCAGGTTCTCCGCTTGTCTTCAAGGCTCATTACGTTGCTTGAGGCTTCAGTCAGCGAGAGGGAGTAGACTTCTTCCAGACCTTCTCCCCACCCCGAAGATGACCACTTTTTGGGTGCTACTACACGTTGCCGCTCAGCGTGACTACGAGCTTCACTCTCTTGACTTCAGCACAACTTTCTTTCAGGGCAGCCTGCACGAGGAGATCTGGCTGCGCCGCCCTCCTGGCTTCACTGGGTCGTTCCCTCCTGGTACCCAGTGGAGCCTCCGGCGGCCGGTCTACGGTCTCCGCCAGGCGCCACGTGAGTGGCACAACACATTGAGGACTACACTTGCGGCTCTTGGGTTCGCGCCTTCTACTGTTGACCTGTCACTGTTTCTGCGCACCGACACTTCGTTGCCGCCGTTCTACATCCTCGTGTACGTCGACGACTTGGTCGTTGCCACTGCTGACACTGAGGCTCTCGCCCTGGTGAAGTCGGAGCTGCAGAAGAGACACATGTGCACAGATATGGGTGAACTGCGCAGCTACCTTCGCTTGCTGATCACCCGGGACAGAGCAGGCCGCACCATCACACTGACTCAGTCACACATGGTGCAGCAGGTCCTTCAGCGCTTCGGCTTCACATGGTCCTCGGCACAGGCCACTCCTCTGGCTACAGGTTACTCGCTCTCAGCTCCACCTTCGGACAAGTCCGTAGAGCCGAGTGGTCCTTACCCAGAGCTAGTTGGTTGCGTCATGTATTTGATGACTTGCACTTGTCCTGACCTCGCGTACCCTTTTGGCCTTTTGGCTCGCTACGTGGCTCCTGGTCGGCAACGAAAGGTGCACATGGATGTTGCTAAGAGGGTACTGCGCTACTTGTACAGTACATCAGGCATGGGGCTCGTGCTTGGAGGGAGGAGCTCAGTTGTTCTCACTGGGCACTCAGACGCTTCTTGGGTTGACGACCAGGCTACTCAGTGATGGTCACAGGGTTACACCTTCAGCCTTGGCTCTGGTTCAGTTTCTTGGCGTTCTACACGCTCGTCTTCAGTTCTCAGCTCCAGTTATGAGGCTTAGATCTGCGCCATAGCCATGGCTGCAAAGGAGTTACGCTAGCTCACCTACCTGTTGACCGACCTGGGAGAGCCGCCTCGTTCTCCTTCAGTGTTGTACGTCGACAACAAGGCTACAATTGCCTTGTGTGAGGAGTACAGACTGGAGCACAGAACGAAGCACATTTCTCTGCGTTACTTTCTGGCCCGAGAGTTGCCGCAGCGTGGTCAGCTTTGTCTGCGTCACGTGGTCTCTCGGGCCAGCACTGCTGATATATTCACCAAGGCACTTCAGTCTGGTGATCATCAACGTTTCTGCACTATGCTAGGGCTTGTTCCCTCTTTTCCTCACTTGCTGTAGGTTTTGCTTGTCTTGTGATCTATATATATATATACTTGCATGCTTGCTTTGTTATGTAGAGATCACTGTGATGATTGTGTTGCATATATGCCTCTGCATGTGAACTGGCCTTGTGGCCCTTTGCTTGTGCTCAGTGTGTGTGGTGATGTTGTGATCCACCCTGACCTTGCTTTGCCTTTCTTGATTGGTCTTGTGACCCCTTGCTCTCCCCCACTTTGCCTATGGGGGTGTGTCAAATGTCATATCTGCTACACTTTGTTTAGGCTGTAGGGGGGTAGTTACTATGGGGTACATTAAGTTTAAGGTTTCCTACTTGTACCCAACTCTTTCCTAGTTCAATCACTCTTGTTCATTCTGACATGTTTCACACAGTCTGAGTATTGTCGAAGAGAAAAGGCCTCGCCCTCGCTTCGGCGAAGTCGACCAGGCATTTTGGAACAAGACGGTGTCAGTTTCGTGGTCATTAGCGACTTCCGGGACTTTTATCTGTGTGCGACGCGTCGTTTGTCGACGATATCAATTGGTCGAGGTAGAATTGTTTCATCTGCTCGATCAATGTCCTCGTTAAGGAGGAGCTTGTCGACGGGAGTAAAACGGCGTCGAAGACGAGCAATTTTTGATAGATGGAATTGGCAGAACTGGTGTTTCGACGGATAGCTGGTTGATAGAATTTAGTTTGACGAGTGTTTCGTCGAGCAGAACGGTTTTGGTCTGTTATGAGTTGTAAAGAGAGTGCGCAGGTAAACGAATAACGAGGCTGTGACAGAATGAACTGCGAATACAATGAATGCACAGACTAATGTAGGGCTAGCCTAGCTAGGAGGAAAACTCGGACAAGCGAGGTTGGGTGTAGGTTTGGCGATGGAAATGCTGAAGGCGACGCGAGGAGCCTCGGCAGCGTTGAAATCGGTCGAACATGCGAACTCCGAAAATCGGGTTGTACGCGAAGCAGTCAACCCCGATAAGGAATTCGGGAAAATTCCTTACACCACCCCCCCCTTTAAGAAAGGCGGTCAATATCCGAAACACGCCGGCGCGCCAGGTAATTACCAACAAGGGGCGAGGCGTCGAGCGAGGCGCATGGCACCCACGTGTCGTCCTCACTTGTGAGGATCTAGGATCGAGCTCAGAAAAGAGAATGAGAATTGAGTCGAATTGAATGATCACCTAGGTACAACACGAGGCTATATATAGGCTCGACACAAGGCCCCGTAACCAGGTGATACGCGAAGGTTCCGCGGGCAGCGTAGCGTCCTGAACGGATCCTTCCCGAATTCAGTAGAAGGCAATTTAGTGGCAACCAAAAAGACCAGAATTCGTAGCACGCAACCTAGCTCGGTGCTATAACTATAATAAAATATAGGAAAGCACCTAGCCTAGGAAATCAAGGAATTCATGCATGCATATGATTATCCTATGCTAGAAATAGCATGATAAAGTAAAGGCAAGCAAGCATAGCTGGCATAAGCCGTCGTACTCTCACACGTCCCCCCCTCAAAGCTGGGTGGCGTGAGATACACCCTGCTTGACAAGATAGTCCTTGAGAGCACGGCGTGCGTTGCCCATATCAGCTTCTGCAACCCAGCTGTCCTCTGTGGGGTCGTATCCCTTCCAGCGTATCAGGAACTCGAGGGTCTTGCCGCCGCGGCGCCGATGAGAGAGAACGCGCTCGATCTCGTACTCGGGTTCATCCTGCACAAGAGCAGGTGGAGGTGGCGGTAGCTGCCGTCCTTGGAACTGTTGGTTGGGGTCCTTGTAGGGTTTCAGTAGCTGCACATGGAAAGCGTTGTGAAGCTTCTAAGTATCTGGTAAGCGCAAGCGGAATGTAACTGGTGTCACGTGTGCCTCAACGAGAAAAGGACCACAGAAGCGAGGCCGGAGTTTGGATGGGAGGTGAGACAGTTGCGCGTGTCAAGAAGCACCGGATCTCCGACTGCTACTGAGTGATCTCGTCGCTGACGATCGGCATACTGCTTCTGGGAGGTTTGCATCGTGGTGAGTCCTCGCTGGGTCTTCTCCCATAGCTGCTGCATGGTGGTGACAAAGTCATGTGCGGCTTGGACGTGTGCCGATGTAGTTGGCTGCTGTGGTATGAGTGGTTCCCGTCCGTAACACAGGAAGAAAGGAGTTTTCCCTGTGGCCGCATGTGATGCGTTGTTGTAAGCAAACTCTAGGGTCGGTAACTGTGTGTCCTAGTGGCTGACGTCGTCCTTGCAAGCTGTGCGCAGTAACTGTTCAACCACTTGATTGAGTCGCTCTGTCTGTCCGTCAGTCTGGGGGTGGTATGCTGAAGACATTGCAAGCTTTGTCCCCAACAGTCCCATGAGCTCCTTCCAGAACTTACTGGTGAATTTTGGGTCTCTGTCTGAGATGAGTGTAGCGGGGATGCCGTGGATGGTGATGATGCGGTCGAAGAAGAGGCGAGCAGTTGCTTCAGCTGTAGTTGTGGCGTTGGTCGGTATGAAATGACCCACTTTGGAGAACTTATCGATGATTACGAGGATGGAAGCGTGCCCACGTGAGGTCGAAGGAAGTCCGGTGATGAAGTCGAGGCTAACGACCTGCCATGGCTGCTCCGGTACGGGTAGAGGCTGAAGTAACCCTGCTTTTTTCTGCTTGCTACTCTTCATCCGCTGGCACATGTCGCAAGAGGTGACGAACTGCTGCACGTCTGCTGCCATCCCGGGCCAGTAGTAATACTTTGCTATCCCTGCTAACGTTTGTTGCTCCCGAAATGTCCCGCGTATGGTACGTCGTGAAACTCCTCCAATAGGATCTGCCGTAGCGGGGCGTAATTCGGTACCCAAATCTTTCCTGAACCCTTCCTTACAGCTAAGTCTTTCTCCCACTGTAATAGCTTCTTGGTCTGTGCTGTAGCGATCTCTGCGTCCACGGAGTACCCATGTTGGAATAGACCCTTGAGCAGAGGGTTCATCCCGTCGAGCCGGATGCCTGCTACATGTCCGGGGCGGCTCAACGCGTCTGCCTTGTTGTATAGCCCGGGCTTGTAGACGATGTCGTAGTGGAAGTGAGTTTCCAGGAAGTCCACCCACCGCACTTGTCGTCGTGAGAGCGCCGGCTGCAACTTCAGGTATTTGAAACTGCAGTGGTCATTATAGACTGTAGTCTTGGCTCCCTCTAGGTAATACCTCCACGGCTTGAAGGCTATGACTATCGCTAAGGCTTCCTTGTCATGGATGGGGTAGTTTAGTTCTGCTCCGTGTAGCTTCTTACTGAGGTAGGCGATGGGCTGCAAACCGCGTCCGTGATCCTGCATCAGTACTGCTCCGACTGCTTGGTCACTAGCGTATGCTTCCACCACGTAGTCCTTGTCTGGATCCGGCAAGTTGAGTACTGGCGCTGTAGTCAATGCTGTCTGTAGCTGCTGTCAAATTATAATGTTGTGTAGGCTGTAGCGAGGTAGCCTGTATGGGGTACACAATGCTAGGGTTGCATACTTGTATCACTTTCATTCCTTAGTCATTCATTCTCGTTTCAGTTTTCTCATGGTATCGAGCAGGTTCCCTCGTGGGAACTGTGCCTAGGGCCCACCAAGTCGAAAGTTTTTTTTTTCCTGCCCGTAGCGCGCTCTGCCCGAGTCGCGCTCCCTTCTCTGACTTCGTCGAGCCGCCCTAGCGGCCAAGTCGCGCCGCCTTAGCGGCCCCTGATCCGTCGCCCTAGCGGCCCCGTCGCCCTACGTGCGCCTCGGTCCGTCGCCCTACTTGCGCCCCGGCCCCAACGCCCTACCTGCGCCCCGGCCCCGTCGCCCTACCTGCGACCCCGGCCCCGTCGCCCCCCTCTTGCGACCCTGGCCCCGTCGCCATACCTGCGGCCCCGGCCCTAGCCCTGTCGCCCTACCTGCGCCCCGGCCCCCGCCCCGTCGCCCCGCTTGCGACCCCGGCCCCGTCGCCCTACCTGCGCACCGGCCCCGTCGCCCTACCGCCGACCCGGCCCCGTCCCCCTACCTACAGCCCGGCCCCGGTACCGTCGCCCTACCTACGGCCCAGCCCCGTCGCCCTACCTTCGACCCGGCCCCGTCGCCCTACCTACGGCTCGGCCCCGGCCCCGTCACCCTACCTACGGCCCGGCCCCGGCCCCGTCGCCCTACCTTCGACCAGGCCCCGTCGCCCTACCTGCGCCACGGTCCCGGCCCCGTCGCCCTAGATGAGCACCGGCCCCGTCGCCCTACCTTCGACCCGGCCCCGTCGCCCTACCTACGGCCCCGCCTGAACCGCCTACGCAGCCGAGCAGCCCGCGCCGCTCAGCAGCCCGAGCCGCCCATTCCGCCCGAGCCGCCCGAGTCGCTCGAGCCACCCGAGCCGCCCGAGCCACCCGAGCCGCCCGAGCCGCCCACCCCGCCCGAGCCGCCCGAGCCGCCTGAGGAGCTAAGGAGCCGAGCCGCGGGTGCCGCCGAGCCACAGTTGCTGCCGAGCCGCCCGAGCTGCCCGAACCGCCCTGTCTGGTGAGCGCAGCGCCTTTGTCACTATACTGCCCCTGCTCTACAGTTAGCGCGGCTAGTCTACTGTTGTCATGGCTACCCCTAGTGTCTTCGCTTTCGACGCCGAGGGTCGAGCCATTGACTTTGACGTCTGGGTAGATGACCTGCAGCTGTTCTTACAGTCGATAGGGCAGACGGTCTCTCCCTCTTTGACCTCACCTCTGGTGCCTCGCCTGCTCCTGCTGCTGATGCTGACGCCACTGTTTGCTCACAGTGGGCCTCGCGCGATGCTTCTGCACGTCTTGCTGTGCGTCACCTCCTCCCTACCTCTGAGCGTGCGCACTTTAGTCAGTACAAGAGTGCTAAGACCTTGTACGACGCTGTAGTTGCACGCTACTCCTCCCCTGCCACTGCTGCACTGAGCCGTCTCATGCTACCGTACCTCTTCTCTGACCTTGCTGCCTTTCCCACAGTCTCTGACCTCATTTCGCACCTCCGCACTAGTGACACTCGCTACCGCGCTGCGCTTCCTGCTGACTTGTGCGCCAAGAACCCCCCCCCCCATGTACATCACTCTCTACTACATAGTCACTCGCCTCCCTGACTCCCTTCGCGTAGTCAGGGATCACTTCCTCTCAGTCTGTCCCACCACTCTCACTGTTGACCTCCTCGAGAAGTCCCTCCTAGCGGCCGAGAAGAGCATAGTCGCTATAGGGGCCTCTCGTGGTGACCCGCGCACCCCCATCTTTGAGGGGTGTTCCCCCTCCCCCCTTCTGCCCTCTGTATCCTCTGCTGCTGCGGCCGACCTCCTTGGTCTTGAGTCTGCCGGTGCGGCGTCTGCCTCTAGCGGGAGACGCAGCTCTAGCAGGGGCAAGGGGGGCAGGGGCGCTGGAGGAGCGAGCGGGGGCGGTGGAGGTGGAGGTGGAGGCGGCGGGGGGAGTTGGGGTGGCGGTGGGAGTGGAGGTGGGGGTGGAGGTGTCGGTGGCGGCAGTGGAGGCGGAGGCGGCGGTGGCGGTGGCGGTGGGAGCGGAGGTGGCGAAGGTGGTGGCGGTGGAGGAGGCGGCGGAGGCGGCGGTAGTAGCGGAGGCGGCGGAGGCGGCGGGGTTGGCGGTGCAGCTGGTCGCGGGTCTACGCAGAGGAGTGGCTCCGGTGGTGGTCCGCGCCAGCAGCAGCAGCGCGGTCGTGAGACCTTGTCCCCTCAGAAGCTCTGTGAGTGGTACACTGCACGCCAGCGGGGTGGGGGCTTTGGTTCGTGCACCTACGTCCTGCGCAACGGCGACCGTGCGGGTGAGCAGTGTGGGGGTGCGCACCCCACCCACCGCTGCTTTGGCCGCCTGACGGACGCGTGGCGTCACCAGTTCCCTGAGGCCACAGAGATCCCTCGCTAGGACGAGCTATCTGGGGCGGGCGTTGCCATCTATGATATTGATTTTGATGCTATCCTTTCTGCCATGTATGCTGTGTGTATTAGTGATAAGGGTGACTGTTACCGGTGTTTCCCGCTCGACCCGGGCATTGGGACTGCTGCTCTAGGTACTGGTGAGGGTGCTGCTCTAGGTGCGAGTGAGGCTGCTGCTCTATGTGCCAAGGCGTCTGCGTCCTTAGGTGCTGGTGAGTCTGCGCTTGCAGGTACCGCGTCGGCTTCGGCCTCCCTCACCTTCACACTTGACTCAGGGGCTTCTCGCTCCTTCTTTCGAGACCGCACCACCCAGCGCCAGCAGCAGCAGCGCGGTCGTGAGACCCTGTCCCCTCAGCAGCTCCGTGAGTGGTACACTGCACGCCATCGGGGTGGGGGTTTTGGTCTGTGCACCTACGTCATGCACACCGGCGACCGTGCGGGTGAGCAGTGCGGGGGTGCGCACCCCACCCAGCGCTGCTTTAGCCGCCTGACGGACGCGTGGCGTCGCCAGTTCCTGGAGGTCACATAGATCCCTCCCTGGGGCGAGCTGTTTAGGGCGGGAGTTGCTATCTATGATCTTGATTTTGATGCTTTTCTTTCTGCCATGTATGCTGTGTCTATTAGTGATGAGGGTGACTCTTACCGCCTGATCCGGGCATTGGGACTGCTGCTCTAGGTACTAATGAGGCTGCTGCCTTAGGTGCCTGTGACGCTGCTGCTCTAGGTGCTAGTGCGTCTAAGTCCTCAGGTACTGGTGAGTCTACGCTCTCATATACTACGTCGGCTTCGGCCTCCCTCGCCTTCACCCTTGACTCTGGAGCTTCTCGCTCTTTCTTTCGGGACCCCACCACACTCACGCCGCTTGGTCGGCCGGTTGCAGTCTCCCTGGCAGACCCCTCTGGGGGTCCTGTCCTCTCTCACTTCTCCACTGTCCTTTCGTGTCCGGCGGCCCCCTCTGACACCTTGTCTGGTCTTTACCTGCCCTCGTTCTCTACCAACTTGGTGAGTGGTGCTGACCTACAGGATGCGGGGGTTCACCAGTTTACTCCTGCGAGTCAGCGGGTGACTCACTGCTCGTACGCTCGCACAGGCCGGCACCTGGCCACGTTTACGCGTCGGCCGGGGTCAAGCCTGTACACCCTGACCACTGAGTCTCCTTCTGTCCCTGCGTCTGGTCAGGTAGCTGAGTCGGGTCAAGTGTTTGCTGCAGGGTCCAGGTCTGGTCCTGAGTCTGCCCCCTGCTCGTGTCGCCTCCTGTCTCACGAGACTCTCCTCTGGCACCACCGCCTTGGTCACCCCTCCCTGCCTCGTCTCCGAGGCATGGCCTCCCGTGTCTTTGTCTCTGGTCTTCCCCGGTCCCTCCCTCCCCTTCCTCCGAGGCCTGGCCCCACCTGCGTCCCATGTGTCGAGGGGCGGCTGCGGGCTGCCCCTCACTCCTCTCAGTTTCCCCCGATAGAGGCCTCGCTGCAGACGCTTCACATGGACGTGTGGGGCCCGGCCCGCGTCCGTGGACAGGGTTATGAGCGCTACTTCCTGATGGTGGTTGACGACTACTCGCGTTATACCACAGTCTTCCCCTTGCGCAGCAAGGGTGATGTCGCTGAGGTGTTGATCGACTGGATCCGCGCAGCCCGTCTCCAGCTCAGGAAGAGTTTCGGCTCGGACTTTCCTGTTCTGCGTCTGCACTTTGACCGAGGCGGAGAGTTCTCCTCTGGCCTTCTTCGAGCCTACTGTCGTGCGCGAGACATCCGCCAGACCTTTACGCTTCCGGACTCTCCACAGCAAAATGGGATTGCTGAGCGCCGCATTGGCATGGTCATGGACGTCGCCCGTACGTCCATGATGCATGCGGCTGCACCCCATTTTATGTGGCCGTTTGCGGTTCGGTACGCGGCGCATCAGATCAACCTTCACCCCAGGGTCTCCATGCCGGAGACCTCCCCAGCTTTGCTGTGGACGGGGAAGGTAGGCGATGCGTCCGCGTTCCGTGTCTGGGGATCTCGGGCGTTTGTCCGCGACTTGTCTGCGGACAAGCTGTCCCCTCGTACTGCTCCTTGCGTCTTCCTTGGCTTCCCCCCTGACGCGCCAGGGTGGCAGTTCTACCACCCCACCTCTCATCGTGTTCTGTCCTCCCAGGACGTCACGTTTGACGAGTCGGTCCCCTACTACCGCCTCTTCCCCTACCGCACTCCGTCCCTCCCCCCGCCATCGCTCTTCCTTGTGCCAAGTCCTCCCCCCGGTAGACCCCCTCCCCCCTCAGGGTCCTGCCCCTTCAGGTGTGTCCCAGGTAGACGCTGTCGAGCTTGTCGAGGTTACTGGTGACTCTGGTGCTACTGAGGGTGCTGAGCCTGGGGGTGCTGACTCTGGGGGTGCTGAGTGTGTGGGTGCTACGCCTGGGGGTGCTGAGCCTGAGGGTGCTACTACTGGGGGTGCTGAGTCTGCGGGTGCTGAGCCTGGGGGTGCTACGCCTGGGGGTGCTGAGCCCGGGGGTGCTGAGTTTGGGGGTGCTATGCGTCGAGGTACTGAGCCTAGGGGTGCGGAGCCTGAGGGAGCTGGGCCTGCTGGTGCTGTGCCTGGCGGTTCTCCGGGAGCTTCGTCTTGCCGAGAGCCACTCTCTCGACAGGAGCTGCGTGAGTGGTTTGCCGGGCGCTGGAGGCGAGCTGCAGGAGCTGGAGGTGGTGCGGGTACTGGAGGTTCTGTTGCTGCTGAGGGAGCTGGTGCCACGGGTCTCAGAGGTGCTCGTACTGGGAGTACTGGAGCTGCTGGGCCTGCGGGTACTTCAGGAGCTGGAGCTGCTGCAGGTGTTGGCGCAGAGGCTACTGCAGTTGGTCCTGGAGGCGGTCCTGCTGGGGGTCCTACTGGTGCTGCTGAAGGTACTGGAGCTGGAGGTGCTACTGGTGCTGGTGTTGCCACTGGGGGTGCTGGTGCTGTCCCTACTTTGTCTGGAGTCGCCGCGCGGCCTTGGCCGTACTTCGTTCCGCTCCTTTAGCAGGTTCTTGGTCTCCCGTCTTCTACTGGTCCTCCTCCTCCCTTAGAGTGTCCACAGCCTATCCCGTTGCAGTTACAGTTACAGCCGGCCTCCCCACTGCCTGCTCCGTCTCCCTACACTGGTCCTACTGGAGGTCTTGCTGAGCGTCGTGAGCCTGCGTCACCTGTTCGTGCTGCTCGCACTAGTGGTCGCAGTTCGCGTCAGCGTCCTCCTCCTGTCCTTGGCACGCATCGGATGTCTCTGCGTCCGTCCACTGCTCCTCTGCGTGCCCCTTTGCCTTCTCCTACTGAGTCTTCTCTTCCTGCTCTTGCCGACCCGGAGTCGGACTCTCTTCGTGCTGCCAGTCCTTTTGTCACGCGTCTCCTTACTACTGTCGTCACTGACCCTTCTTTTGAGTCCACTGCTGCGTCTGCCCTAGTTGCTGAGCTCGTTGACTTTGCTGCTCGCTGTCGTCTAGACTACGCTGCTAGTCTTTGTTATAGTCACAATAGGCTCCAATGTGCCTAAAACGAAAGATAGAGTGCACAGCCGGATTTCTACAAAGCGGCTTCAAACGTTCATAGCGTTCGGGTCACAACTTAAAATGACCTGATTCAACTTGGATCTGGAGCGTCAAATTGTAGCCTACAATAGGCAATTTAGATCGCACAATTTCACTAAGTATTGACGACACATTGCCGGTTTGAACGAACGGCACTATGGCAGCCACTTTAGTCTTAGAACACAAAATAGGAAGAGATGTGAAGAGTTACGAGTTGGGAATGACTCCCAGCTCCTTCAAACTTAAAGAGCCGAGGTACAGTGATGTGGAACAGTGCCACACTGTCCCCAACCACGAAGGGTCTCGAAACTGCCCTTCACTAGGGCCTACACCAAGTGAAATGTTACACTACACAAAGCAATGTAACTATCTTCAATATCTTGAAGTGTACCCTTTTGGCGAGCTTCGAAATCACTTGAGGCTTGACACCAAGGCTTGGGCTCTTCATCACAAACTCATCCTTGAGTTCTTGATGGGTCTTCTACACACACCTACGACACGCCAAACGTTCGACCCAGGACAAAATAGAAACCGCGCACGACAAAATAGAAATCGCGTGCGAGACACAAACGACCACGTAACACGCGTCTAGCGATAACTCGCTATTGACTCGACACACACACTCGACATCATGACTCAACATTCACACAAAATTATAAGCATGAAATATATATTATCCCATGCCCTCATACCATTCCATACACACACACATGGACGCACACGGACAACAAGCCGAGTGCAAACCGTAGGGTTGCACCAACAGTCTTGTCGCTGAGTCTGAGTCTGTCTGTCCTCCGTCCGTCGGGGGTGAGTGTGCCCTTGGCACGGACGTCCTTGAGGACTGGCAGGAGGAGTTCTAGTGTCCCGCTGCTGCTTCACCTCATCTCGTGTTCGTACAGCTTACCCCTGAGGGAGACCCGGATGCACTTGACATCCCGACTCCGCCCTCTTACGCGGAGGCCGTAGAGGGTCCCTACTCCTCTCAGTGGCAGGCAGCTATGGATGCAGAGATGGCTTCCTGGAAGTGCACAGGAACCTATGTTGACGCGGTTCCTCCACCTGGGGCGAACATCGTCAGTGGCAGGTCGATCTTCAAGGTGAAGCGGCCGCCAGGTTCTCCACCTGTCTTCAAGGCGCGGTACGTGGCTCGTGGCTTCAGTCAGCGGCAGGGAGCTGACTACTTTCAGACCTTCTCGCCCACCCCGAAGATGACCACTTTTCGGGTGCTGCTGCACATAGCCGCTTAGCGCGACTACGAGCTTCACTCTCTTGACTTCAGCACTGCTTTCTTGTAGGGTAGCCTGCACGAGGAGATCTGGCTGCGCCGCCCACCTGGCTTCACTGGGACTTTTCCTCCTAGCACCTAGTGGAGCCTCCGGCAGCCAGTCTATGGTCTCCGCCAGGCACCG